TTGTTATAGGCTCTCTTGTCTATAGGTTTGGTCAAGTCCGCTGCCTGAAAAAATGTAAAAACTTGTAAAGCACGAGGCAGAGTGAAGACAATATGGTATAAAATTATCGTGACATTTACTGTGATGCAATTTTTTTAATAGTAGGCAAGTGGTAAAAACAGTCAGACATCTTGGATATCCTCCCTCTCTCCTATGGTTTGTGGGAAGTTGGCCAGAAAGTGAAGAGTGATCCTAAACCAAAGATAGCTGGTACATAGCAGCCAACAGGCAAAGTCCATGAGAGATAGTGTAACATCACACTTTGCAGTTGCCTCCCTTCCATGGGAACCTTTGCTTTTTATGACCTGTCAGGCTTAGTGTGTACAGTATATTAAAGTAAAGTGTCCACACAAAAATATTGATCCCTGTGACATTGTTATAGGACTATTTAATAAAAATATACATTAAGGATAAATAAAATACATTAAAACACATGAAAATCTTTATATTATATTACCCTGTATGTTTCCCTTTGATTTTAACACTAATTCAAGTTTATTTAGCATGGATTAAGCAAATGTTTGGAAGTAACCACAACTCAATATCCATGGTCCAGATCTGTTTGATCTCCTCCTGCAGGTGAAGTACTGTACAGTATTGATAATGTATTCCAAGTTAACAACTTGTGTTTCATCTGATTCAATGCATTCTCTATCGGGTTTCAGTCAAATGATTTCCCAGGCCCTTCTAGCATTCAAATACAGTATTCTTGCATATGCTTTGTGATGAATTTTATTTTTGGTGGCATGATGAGATGGCATGTTCAGCTCCTTTTGCAGTTGGCGGTGAATCATTCATCAGACACCATGAAGGAGGTTGTGGTGGGCTTCCATCATTTCTGCTGTAGATATTGTTGGAGTCTGCCTCTCATAGGCATGTCGGGGCCATTGTACACTCCTCGCCATTGCATTATGCGCGTGGTCGTGACCCATATAAACAAGAAGATGAAATATTAATAAAAAATTAATCTGAGAAGTTAACAAATTTCCAGTAGTCTATAGGCCTCCCCTTTTCTCTTGATACACTCCTGCAGGTGTGAAGGAACTGACTCTGCCAAGTTGTGGATTATTTGTGGGTCTAAATTATTCCACTCCTCAGAATGGCGGCCTTGTAGACGAAGCTTGATAATGCTCCACTTATTTTCTATCAGGTTAAGGTCAGGCAAATTGCTTGGCCAATCACTTATGAAAGCTACCCGACAGTCAACAAGCCATTGTATTACAGATTTTGCTGTGTGCCAAGGGGTACCATCCTGCATAAACACATCAGCGCAGGATTTTTCAAAAGACCCGGGTAAATAATCACAAAGCAGCTCCAAGTAGTTAAATTGATTCATCATCACATTCCTAGGTAACACAACAAGATCACCATTTCCAAAGTATGAGAAACAACCCCACACCATTAGTGATTCAGGATGCTTAACTGTGCTAAAAGTGAACTTGGGGTCAAGCGAATCACTCCTGGGGCGCCTGTACACATTAAAAGAAAACGTTGCCTCGTCATTCCACAGCACGTGCTACCACTTGGTCATATCCCACTGAGTGTTAGCCTTGGCAAAAGCGACCCTACGCTGCCTCTGGACAAAGGTGAGGAGTGGCTTCTTGCGTGTTCGGTGGCTGCAAACCTGCAGGAATGTCACGGTAAACGGTCCTTACATAAACATCACCTAAAAGTACAAGGTTTTTTCTTTCAATTCCCGTGCTGACAGACTTGGATTAGCATCAAGTTGCCTCTTAAGAACAGTTAACGTGCATTGGGAAGTTTTTCGAGCCTTCCCTGGCAGTCCGCTGTGCACTGGTGTTACCAACCCGACGTCATCTCAAAATCGTTTAATCCAAATCTGAACTGATCGCTCAATCACACCAACAATTCTTGATATTTCCTATACAGGTTTCTTGCCCTTATGCAGACTAATAATTGACGTTATCTGCTCTTTTGTTAAATATTTCCTCTTGTCCATTGTGGTAAAAAAACCAAAGAAACAACGGGCATTGTGGCAGTAAATAGGGGCAATGTCGGTGGGGGGGACTCCTAAATCTTCATTCACAAAATTTTCAAGGGCAATTGGTGAACGTTTTGATTGCTGGCTGACTTGTCCTCAAATCTCCCTTCGCTGCGAGACGTACCTGCCTGCCTCAGCCCCAGCTGGCTGGCTTGGAGGGGTGTGAGGCACTTCAGCAAAGATCACTTCCCGTCGGCCACCTCGCGCATAATGCAATGGCGAGGAGTGTAGAACTTTGTGGGCCTCCCAGGGCACAGTTTCCCAAGTAGAACAGAATTAGTGGAAAGACTGCATGTCATGTGCTTGTCTTAAATGTTGCTCTGCCTATTCCTGGATTTCCCTCAGAGGTACAATACTATTTAACCAAAAAAGACAAAGACATGAGCCTTTTCCTCACCAGAAAAAAATGGGGTTACTATGGCGATGTTGTTTTATATCATCAAAATGCAGCAGAAAATGATATAACTGCCTTGATACAGCTAAACACACAGTCCATGTGGAAACTCATACATAGAGGCCCAAGGTATCACTGAGTTGGCAGACAAAAGATTTTGCACCTATGGCAATTCAATTTGACAGGCAGTAACCTGGCTCTAATGATTGCATAAAAAAGCATCTAATTATGAAGCTGAGATCAATAGTTTTTGCTCACTGGAAGATGGCATCAAACTATAGAGGTAATTTATTATAAAATTGAAAACACTAAGACTGAACACTGAGTATAACAATCATGGTACAATACAGTGCCAAGTTAGGGTCTTATTTGAAAACAATAATATAAAATTAGATCAGATAATGATGAAAGGCAAACTTAATAGTGCTATTATAACATTTAGTGCTTTAAAGTGTTAAAATCCCCAGGCAGCTCTCATAGAGGAACCCATACCACAGGCAGCTCTCATAGAGGAACCCATACCCAGGCAGCTCTCATAGAGGAACCCATACCCAAGCAGCTCTCATAGAGGAACCCATACCCAGGCAGCTCTCATAGAGGAGCCCATACCCAAGCAGCTCTCATAGAGGAACCCATACCACAGGCAGCTCTCATAGAGGCCCATGCCCAGGCAGCTCTTATAGAGGAGCCCATACCCAAGCAGCTCTCATAGAGGAACCCATACCACAGGCAGCTCTCATGGGGGCCCATACCAGGCAGCTCTTATAGAGGGCCCATACAACGGCAGTTCTGGGAGCCCATACCCAGGCAGCTCTCATAGAGGCCCATACCCAGCCAGCTCTCATGAGAAGACCCATACCACAGGCAGCTCTCATAGAGGACCATACCCAGGCAGCTCTCATAGAGGAACCCATACCCAGGCAGCTCTCATGGGAACCCATACCCAAGCAGCTCATAGAGGCCCATAAAGCAGCTCTCATGAGAACCCATACCCAGGCAGCTCTCATGGGAACCCATACCCAGGCAGCTCTCATAGGGAACCCATACCCAAGCAGCTCTCATAGAGGGAGCCCATACCCAAGCAGCTCATGGGAACCCATACCACAGGCAGCTCTCATAGGGAGCCCATACCCAGGCAGCTCTTATAGAGGGCCCATACCACAGCAGTTCTCATAGGAGCCCATACCCAGGCAGCTCTCATAGGGAGCATACCCAGGCAGCTCTCATGGGGCCATACCCAGGCAGCTCTCATAGGGAGCCCATACCCAAGCAGCTCTCATAGAGGAACCCATACCAGGCAGCTCTCATAGAGGAGCCCATACCCAGGCAGCTCTTATAGAGGGCCCATACCACAGGCAGCTCTCATGGGGAGCCCCATGCAGGCAGCTCTCATAGGGGAGACCATACCACAGGCAGCTCTCATAGAGGGCCCAGGCAGCTCTCATGGGGCCCATGCCAGGCAGCTCATAGAGGAGCCCATGAGCAGCTCTCATGAGGCCCTAAGCAGCTCTCATGGGGAACCCATGCCCAAGCAGCTCTCATGGGGCATGCCCAGGCAGCTCATGGGGCCCAGCACCCAGGCAGCTCTCATAGAGGCCCATACCGGGCAGCTCTCATAGGGCCATACCAGGCAGCTCTCATGGGGAGACCCATCCCCAGGCAGCTCTCAGAGGACCCATACCCATGGAGCTCTCATAGAGGGCCATACCCAAGCAGCTCTCATGAGAGACCCATACCACAGGCAGCTCATGGGGAGCCCATACCCAGGCAGCTCTCATAGAGGAGCCCATGCCAGGCAGCTCTCATGGGGCCCATGCAGGCAGCTCTCATGGGGAGCCCATACCCAAGCAGCTCTCATGGGGAACCCCATACCCAAGCAGCTCTCATGGAGGGCCCATGCCCAGGCAGCTCATGGGGGCCATGCCAGGCAGCTCTCATAGGGAACCCCACCACAGGCAGCTCTCATGGGGAACCCATACCCAGGCAGCTCTCATAGGGAGCCCATACCCAGGCAGCTCTCATGGGGAGCCCATACCCAAGCAGCTCATAGAGGGCCATACCCAGGCAGCTCTCATAGGGAACCCCATACCACAGGCAGCTCTCATGGGGGCCATACCCAGGCAGCTCTTATGGGGCCCACTCAGGCAGCTCTCATGGGGCCCATGCCAGGCAGCTCTCATGGGGGCCCATACCCAGGCAGCTCTCAGAGGGGCCCATGCAGGCAGCTCTTATAGAGGCCCCATACCACAGGCAGCTCTCATAGGGCCCATGAGCAGCTCTTATGGGGCCCATACCAGGCAGCTCTTAGAGGGGCCCATGCAGAGCAGCTCTTTAGAGGCCCCATACCACAGGCAGCTCTCATGGGAACCGCTACAGGCAGCTCTTATGGGGAGCCCATGCAGGCAGCTCTCATAGGGAGACCCCATGCCCAGGCAGCTCTCATGGGAGGGGCCCATGCCAAGCAGCTCTCATGGGGAGCCCATGCCCAAGCAGCTCTCATAGAGGGGCCCATACCCAGGCAGCTCTCATGGGGGCCCATACCCAGGCAGCTCATGAGAGGAGCCCATGCCACAGGCTCTCATGGGAACCCATACCCAGGCAGCTCTCATAGGAGGAACCCATGCAAGCAGCTCTCATGGGGAACCCATGCAAGCAGCTCTCATGGGGAGCCCATGCCCAGGCAGCTCTCTAGAGGGCCCATACCCAGGCAGCTCTCAGGGCCCATGCCCAGGCAGCTCTCATGGGGCCCATGCCCAGGCAGCTCTCATGGAGGGGCCCATACTCGGACAACTCATAGAGGGCCCATACCCAGGCAGCTCTTATGGGGAGACCAGACAGGCAGCTCTTATAGAGGAGACCATGCAGACAGCTCTCAGGGCCCATGCAGGCAGCTCTCATAGAGGAGCCCATACCCAGGCAGCTCTTATGGGGAGAGCCCATGCAGGCAGCTCTCATGGGGGCCCATGCCCAGGCAGCTCTCATAGGAGACCATGCCAGGCAGCTCTCATGAGGAGCCCATGCAGGCAGCTCCATGGAGGGCCCATGCCCAGGCAGCTCATGGGAGCCCATGCCCAGGCAGCTCTCATGGGGCCCATACCACAGGCAGCTCTCATAGAGGAGCCCATGCCCAGGCAGCTCATGGGGCCCATGCAGGCAGCTCTCATGGGGCCATGCCAGGCAGCTCTCAGAGGGCCCATACCCAGGCAGCTCTCATTGGGGAGCCCATACCAGGCAGCTCTCATGGGGAGCCATGCAGGCAGCTCATGGGAGCCCATGCCCAGGCAGCTCTTATGGAGGGCCCATACCGGGCAGCTCATGGGGCCCATGCCAGAGCAGCTCTTATAGAGGGAGCCCATCCGCAGGCAGCTCTCATAGAGGGAGCCCATGCAGGCAGCTCTTATAGAGGGCCATACCACAGGCAGCTCTCATAGAGGAGCCCATGCCAGGCAGCTCTCATGGGGAGCCCACTGCCAGGCAGCTCTCATGGGGCCCATGCCGGAGCAGCTCTCATGGGGAGCCCATGCCAGGCAGCTCTCATGGGGCCCATACCCAGGCAGCTCTCATGGGGGCCATGCAGGCAGCTCTCATGGGGGCCCATACCACAGGCAGCTCTCATAGAGCCCATACCACAGGCAGCTCTCATGGGGAGGGCCCATGCCCAGGCAGCTCTGATGGAGGAGACCATGCCAGGCAGCTCTCATGGGGCCATACCCAGGCAGCTCTCATGGGGAGCCCATACCACAGGCAGCTCTCATGGGGGAGACCATGCCCAGGCAGCCTCATGGGAGACCATACCCAGGCAGCTCTCATGGGGAGACCATGCCCAGGCAGCTCTCATAGAGGAGCCCATACTCAGGCAGCAGCTCTCATAGAGGGGCCCATGCCCAGCAGCTCTTATAGGGCCCATACCAGAGCAGCTCTCATAGAGGGAGCCCATACCCAGAGCAGCTCTTATGAGGGCCCATACCACAGGCAGTTCTCATAGAGGGCCCATGCAGGCAGCTCTCATGGGAGCCCATGCCCAGGCAGCTCTCATGGGGCCCATGCAGGCAGCTCTCATGGGGAGACCATCCAGGCAGCTCTCATAGGGCCCATGCAGAGCAGCTCTCATAGAGGAGCCCATACCCAGGCAGCTCTCATAGAGGAGCCCATACCCAGGCAGCTCTCATAGAGGCCATGCCAGGCAGCTCTCATAGAGGGCATACCAGGCAGCTCTCTATAGAGGCCCATACCACAGGCAGCTCATGGAGGCCCATGCAGGCAGCTCTCATAGAGGGAGACCATACAGGCAGCTCTCATAGAGGAGACCATACCCAGGCAGCTCTCATAGAGGGCCCATACCCAGGCAGCTCTCATGGAGGAGCCCATGCAGGCAGCTCATAGAGGAGCCATACCACAGGCAGCTCTCAAGAGGGCCCATGCAGGCAGCTCATAGGAGACCATACCCAGGCAGCTCTCATAGGAGCCCATACCACAGGCAGCTCTCATAGAGGCCCATACCCAGGCAGCTCTCATAGAGACCATACTCAGACAACTCTCATAGAGGCCATACCCAGAGCTCTCATAGAGGCATACCCAGGCAGCTCTCATAGGAGACCATACTCAGACAACTCCTTAGAGGAGACCATACCCAGGCAGCTCTCATAGAGACCATACTCAGACAACTCTCATAGAGGAGCCCATACCCAGGAAGCTCTCATAGAGGCCATACCCAGGCAGCTCTGAGGAGACCATACCCAGGCAGCTCTCATTAGGGGAGACCACCCAGGCAGCTCTCATAGAGGCCATACCCAGGCAGCTCTCTTAGAGGAGCCCACCCAGGAAGCTCCAATAGGGCCCATGCAGGCAGCTCTCATGAGGCCCATGCAGGCAGCTCAATGAGGCCTTGCCAGGGCTCATAGAGGACCCATGCCCAGGCAGCTCTCATAGAGGGCCATGCAGGCAGCTCGTAGAGGCCCATACAGGCAGCTCATGGGCCATCTCATAGAGGGCCCATACCACAGGCAGCTCTCATAGAGGCCCCATACCCAGGCAGCTCTCATAGAGGGCCATACCCAGGAAGCTCATAGAGGCCCATACTCAGACAACTCTCAGAGGGCCCATACCAGCCAGCTCCATAGGAGACCATACTCAGACAGCTCTAGAGACCCATACCCAGGAGCTCTCATAGAGGCCATACCCAGGAAGCTCTCATGGAGACCATGCCCAGGCAGCTCTCATAGAGGGCCATACCACAGGCAGCTCTCATAGAGGCCCATACCCAGGCTCTCATAGGAGACCATGCCCAGGCAGCTCTCATAGGGGCCACCTAGGCAGCTCATAGAGGAATACCCAGGCAGCTCTGAAATGCCACACAAGCAACACCGAAAAAGTGCAAAGAGATGCAAGATTATTCTCTCCCCTTCCTACTCCACATATCAAGAAGCGCTCAACCTTCGACTCTCACTGACCATCACCACGGCCTCATCTGCAAATTTGGTAGAAGCTTCTACACCATCCCCGACACCGGCTCCACTACCACCTGAGATCCCTGTCCGAGTGCTGTTCGACACCACAACCGCATCCAGCCCATACGTGCACGAACTGTCGCTATAAGAACAGCCCAGTCCCAACCATTGTAAAATTATCAATAACATGTAATAAATCAGTGTATTCCTCCCAGTAAACACTGCTCTACACTGTCACTATGTTGAAATGAACTGTAGTTTGAGCTGATCCCCATCTAAGTTACTATATGTCTTATTTGTGTCACTTATGTCACTTGTATATTATTTGTAATTCGTAACCCATTCCCCAAATATGTAACTGTATATTTTCAGCCTTCTGGCTGCCAAGCTCTTTCAATAAACCGTTAATTATTATTATTATTATTATTATTATTATTATACAGGCAGCTCTCATAGGAGACCATACAGGCAGCTCTTATAGGAGACCATACCAAGGCAGCTCCTCATAGAGAACCATACCCAGGCAGCTCTTATAGGAGACCATACCCAGGCAGCTCTCATAAGGTAGCAGGAGACCATACCCAGGCAGCTCTCATGGAGACCATACCCAGGCAGCTCTCATAGAGGAGACCATGCAGGCAGCTCTAGGGAACATCCAGGAATCTCTCGTGAGGCCCATACCCAGGAGCTCTTATGGGGAACCCATCTCAGACAACTCTCAGGCCCATACCCAGCCAGCTCCCATAGAGGAACCCATACTCAGACAACTCTCATAGGGGAGACCATACCAGCTCTTATAGAGGGGGCCCATACCTGAGCAGCTCTTATAGAGGAGCCATACCACAGGCAGCTCTCATAGGAGGCCCATACCACAGGCAGCTCTCAGGGAGCCCATACCACAGCAGCTCTCATGGGAGCCCATGCCGGAGCAGCTCTTATAGAGACCATACCCAGGCAGCTCTTATAGGGAGACCATGCAGACAACTCTCAGAGGCCATACCCAGGCAGCTCATGGAGGAGCCCCAGCTCTTATAGGGAGCCCTTTGAGCAGCTCATGGGGCCCACCCAGGCAGCTCTTATAGGGAGACCATGCCAGGCAGGCTCTCATAGAGGGCCCCATGCAGGCAGCTCTCATGGGGCCCATATCCAGGCAGCTCTCATGGGGGCCCATACAGGCAGCTCATAGAGACCATGCCCAGGCAGCTCTCATGGGGAGCCCATACTCGAGCAGCTCCATAGAGGGCCCATACCACAGGCAGCTCTCATTAGAGGCCATACCGAGGCAGCTCATGGGGCTATGCAGGCAGCTCATAGAGGCCCATGCAGGCAGCTCTATGGGGAGACCATACAGGCAGCTCTCATAGAGGGCCCATACCAGGCAGCTCATGGGGAGCCCATGCCCAGGCAGCTCTCAGAGGGGCCCACCCAGGCAGCTCTCATGGGGAGACCACATGCAGGCAGCTCTCATGGGGCCCATATGCAGGCAGCTCTTATGGGGCCCACACAGGCAGCTCTCATGGAGGCCCATGCCCAGGCAGCTCTTATGGGGAGCTTATACACAGCTCTCATGGGGCCCATGCAGGCAGCTCTATGGGGAGGCCCATACCACAGGCAGCTCTCTATGGGAGCCCATACCCAGGCAGCTCTCATAGGGGCCATGCCCAGGCAGCTCTCATGGGGGCCCTTACAGGCAGCTCTCATGGGGGCCCATGCAGGCAGCTCTCATAGAGGGCCTGCAGGCAGCTCTTCAGGGGAGACCATACCCAGGCAGCTCTCATAGGGGCCATACCCAGGCAGCTCTTATGGGGGCCATACCACAGGCAGCTCTCATGGGAGCCCATACAGAGCTCTTATAGGGGCCCATACTACAGGCAGCTCTCATAGAGGAGCCCATACCCAGGCAGCTCTATGGGGAGCCCATACTACAGGCAGCTCTCATAGGGCCGTGCCCAGGCAGCTCTCATAGAGGGGCCCATACCCAGGCAGCTCTCATGGGGCCCTTGGGCAGCTCTCATGGGGCCCATGCCCAGGCAGCTCTCATAGGGGCCATACCAGGCAGCTCTCATGGGAGACCATACCCAGGCAGCTCTCATGGGAGCCCATACCCAGGCAGCTCATATGGGGAGCCACTACAGGCAGCTCTCATGGAGCCCATACCCAGGCAGCTCTTATAGAGGGATACAGACTCTCATAGAGGAGCCCATACCGGGCAGCTCTTCAGAGGGCCCATACAGGCAGCTCATGGGGAGCCCATACAGGCAGCTCTCATAGAGGAGCCCATGCAGGCAGCTCTCATGGGGCCATACCCAGGCAGCTCTCATGGGGAGCCCATGCAGGCAGCTCTCTGTAGAGACCATACCAGGCAGCTCTCTCAGAGGGAGCCCATACCCAGGCAGCTCTCATAGAGGAGCCATACCCAGGCAGCTTCATAGGGGAAGCCCATACCAGGCAGCTTCAGAGAGGAGCCCATACCCAGAGCTCTCAGAGGAGCCCATACCCAGGCAGCTCTCACAGAGGAGCCCATACCAGCAGCTTCTCAGGAGGGCCCATACCCAGGCAGCTCTTCAGAGGAGACCATACCCAGGCAGCTCCCAGGAGGAGAGCCATACCCAGGCAGCTCTCAGAGAGACCATACCCAGGCAGCACCCTGCAGAGGAGCCCATACCCAGGCAGCCTCATAGAGGGCCCATACCCAGGCAGCCTCATAGAGGAGCCCATACACAGGCAGCTCTCAGAGAGCCCATACCCAGGCAGCTCTACAGAGGAGACCATACCCAGGCAGCTCTCATGGGGAGGAGCCCATACACAGGCAGCTCCTCATATAGAGGAGCCTATACCCAGGCAGCTCTTACAGAGGAGCGACTACACACAGGCAGCTCTCTAGAGGAGACCATACAC